TCTGAATTCAGAATCCGGAATCCGGTCGACGGCAGCGGCGTTTCTTCCCTGGAGCGGACACCTTACAGCTTGAGGATAGTATATATATCTGAATAAAAAATGTAAAATGTATCTTAGAGAATTGCTGCCACTTAATCTCAAAATGTAAACGCGGGGGCAGGCGATACTCGTGCGATACGAACAGCAAACGCAAAGATTAGTATAATTTGTCAAGCCTAGTTTTTGTAACTATTAGGAGAAATATTAAATACAATTAAATTATAACTAAATGGAACCGAAGCACTGGTCACTCTCACTCATTTATCGCTGGACAACTTTGCCGCTTTAATAAGCACTTGGGCAGCAGGAGGTATTGCGGACACGAACCTAACTCCTGCGGCACTAGTACTTAGGAAAGCGAACTTGGTAAGTGGGCACTATGAAGTACATATCCAATATTCACCCTTGATCCAGGCTCTTTGATCTCCGAATCCATGGCTCCATGTTCTGCAATAATAAATCAATTAGTGTGTGGAAGTACTTTCACTGGATCTCTGTCACAATTGACAGCTTGAAGATGCCTCCATCCGCCGTACAGCAAGGTTAATGTATTCTGAACTATGCACTTTATCGTTTAGTTTTTGAGTTATTAATATATCTGTACGAGATACTTAACCTTCTGTGGCAGCTGTCTCTTTGAAATGTTTTCCTCCCCCGAAAAATATAAACATTTCGTTCAATTTTCCCCCCGCCCAATCGCCATGTAGATGTGTATCATTGCAAGTCGTGTACGGCTAGTAACCTCTTGCACATAATACATAAGTTTATTAAATTTAAATTGGCTTAATTGACCCTCATTCGTTTTCCGTTGCCCGATGCCCGATGCCCGTATTCGCCGGCAGCGTTCAAAATTGCTCCATGACAGACGACAACGAGTGTCTGTATGTCTGTATTTTGTGCTGCCTTCATTGCTGGAGCATTCAAAGTCAATTGAATTTAAACGAATATAACTACATACAATGCGATGCTGCCACACAGTCTTATTGTTGCCGCATCGCCCGATTATGATTGCTGTTGCTGCCGGGGCAGAAGCGTCAAGTACTTGTCAAAAAAGAGCCGAGGACCTCGCATTCGCAATCGCATTCAACAATTTGTCAGCGCAAGATGCACAAACAGAGTACAATAATAAATAGCTGGCTGAATGCATTCATCAGCTAAATTAGAATATACATAGATTAATCAGAGTACAATAACACTTAGTTAAGTGAGTCCAGTTTAGCATTGGCTGGAGCAGCGGCTATAGCAACAATTGCCGCCGAGTCGTCGAAAATCTGTTGCACTTCCTGATTGCCATTAACTATGGCTTTGTCATCGCAGTCAATTATAATTTGGTTTATTAGATTTTCATCTTAAAGGGCGTTAGCCGAGATTTAAGTGGGGGCTAATGTTGATATTAGTCAGCTTTAATTTCTATTAATTTGTACATCTCATGAAGCTAAAAGTAGGTTTAAACTTTAATTTCTAAAGCATTTTCTCATTAAAAAAGAGACGAATTAATGCTTTACCTAACTTTATATATTTTCAGATTTTGTTTTTTCAAAATACATTTTTGTAATATTTATAGATGGTAATATTTTGAAATTTTCCATTTAAAATATTATTTTTTATTTTTTTTAGGGCGCTAGATTTAAGTGAACTTTAGATTTTATTGGTATTTGTTAATATATATTTGTATATTACTTTTATAATTAAATTTTTCAAACCTTAAAGTTGTTTTTAAATTTTAAAACGTTAATTTTCAATATTTCGAAATATTTTAAAATTGGTTTTTTATATAAAAACACAGCATTGAACTTTATAGATGTTAATATGTGAAGTAGCACCCCATTAATATTATTTTTATTTATTTTTTTTATTTAAGTCCTGAGGCTAGTTAAAATTTATATTTTTTTGACAGATATTACGAGAATTTTGAAGGGAATTTTATTTTATCGCATACATACTTATAAATTCCGGAGAATCGGAGAATGAGAGTGGGTGTGAGATAGAGATCCGCACGCGGGGCAGACTCATCGCCGATGTTGCTGCTGTAGATGTTGCTGTTGCTGCTGTAGCTGTTGCTGTTGCTGGTGTGCCTGCTGCTGTTGCCGCTCGACGACGAGAACGTTGATTGCGATTATCGCGCCTTGGCAGGGTCTTAACCCCCGATCGGAGAATTGACCAGTAGTCGTCGATCTCAAACGTATATATTTTCGTGCATACTTATGGAATTGGTAATCAATGGGCAAGAGCAAGAGCCGGATTATGTGTGAAGCAAACTATTCCTTGGGTTGGTATAGATATAGATATAGATTGCACTGGGGTTTCGGGAGTCCGCAAGATCTGCGATCAGTGATCTCTGTTCTGGGGTCCGAGTTCGAGAACGCGGAGAACATTGCCGCTCGAGGGCGATTCCACAACTGATTTGTGCAGTGATCGCGCGGACAGTCGTTGGATTTTTGAAAATAACCATCAATTCATTACTCTCCGTGTGTGAGTGTCGCTTCGCCAGTGTGTGTGTGTGTGTGAGAGATCGCCCTCATATGCGTAGTGACCATGCCGAAGTATTGGTGCGACTCAATTCCGCAACAACAAGAGCAGGCAATTTCCCCGCCCACTCCACTCGGCACTTTCCACTCGGCACTTTCCACCCCGAACTGCAGTTGATTACCGACTAAGCCGGTCATCTGAACTTTCCCGCATATAGTCGAATTGAAACTGAAATTGAAATAGAAGCACTCGCCTCGAAATAGCCGCCTCCCATTCATGCCAGATTATTTAACCGCACTCTCTCTCCGGCTTGTTTTCCATCTCGGATCTTAAATCACCATCGCCGACGGCTTTTCACACAAACAGATTGTCCAGGCGCATAATAGATTAGGCTGGTCCCCTGAGTTCTCCTTAAGTTCCCCATTCCCCAGTTCCTGTATCCCAGTTCCCAGTTCCCATTCCCCGACCAAGTTCCTAATACGCTTGCCGGGATTATAACCATATGCTGGGGAGATTCAATTTTTTTCCACTTCAGAATACGGTATTATGCACTTTTAGCGCTTAAGTTGATGGTGTGCGATGATGGGGGTGCCTGAAAGGTGACAAATAAATTGCTGAGATTCTTATATCGCACACTCATCTTCTAGTTACGTCGCCGTGGTCTATTAAATCTCGAAATAAATATGTCTTTCATTACATATTTTGTTTAATTTTCAAATGCAGTTGAACAGCTAAACAATTCCAGTTGGTCCCCCAATTTAATCCTTTTATTTAAATTTAATTAATCACAAACACGAAAATCTTTTATGTGTAACATAATTCCTGATTAAAAGATTTTGTTCAATTTTCTTTGCCTTGTTAATTACAAAATAATATGTTAAAAAAGAAAATATCTCTCACTTCCTATATCTACAAATATAACTTGACCTTCTGAGCTCCAATGTAAGTAATTAATTGCAATTACTCATTGAAGAGTTTCGAATGCAATTCATCCCATCAATTATTGAGCTTTTATTCGCCTGAATGTCTAAATTACAATTGCATTGATGACCCAAGAAATTCAATCTTTTTCTGCTTAAAGTGTAATATTTATTACTTGTTGAGTTTGAGGTTCAATATTATAACGTGTTATTACAAACTCAAAGAAAAGTTAGCTAGCTGAAGGCTGTTCTTCAACATTTTAATTAAATATAAATGTAATTAAATATTTTCTCTTGGGATGCCTTCTTAACTTCAAAGATATTCATCTTTCAGATACTTTTATGGATTTGAGCGTATGACCCGCACTGTGGCGCTGCCCTAAAAATTAAGATCTGGATGAAGGAACTAAACTTGATTGCTGGTCTTGTCGTACTTACAAGTTCTCACGAACACACAGATTCGCTGCTGTGAGCTCACTTAGTTGAGTGAAGAATTTCAATTAATTCAATTGAAGCGGCTCGCCAAGTAGGTAGTGGGCACTGTCAACTGCGAATGGACGTCGGTCCATTTCCATATCTAGTGTGAATTCAAGATTCTTTTCGTATCTGGCATGGCCTCATATCCCCATGTGTGTGTACAGCTTCCTTATTACGGCGCATACATCATCAAATAGGCCACGGAATATAGATACATATACGTACATACGTGCTCCATCGAAATTCCGAATAAGCGATTGTAAAACTCGAGAGCAGGACAAGTCAACTTAAATAGCTCTTATGGCTACCAATCTATGGGTTCTAGGAGTACCACGGCCCCGCCCACTTTTCCCGGCCACAAACCAATAAAAAAGGGCGAGGACGTAACCGGAACCCTTTCCCGGCCGTAACCGGAGCGGGAAAATGCGGCCAAATGGTACACTGATAAAAAAAACGTAGTAAATCCAAATATTTCATATTCAACCCAAATATTTTTCGCTTTGATTTTCATCCATTGCGGTTTTTATTAAATTTCAATATGCGCATATTAACCTTTTTTTCCATATTAAATTTAAATATTTTCGGAATAGATTTTAATATTTTAAATATTTAAGTTAAATATAAGCCATATTTAAATTAAATACAATGCATATTTCTATTTAATATTATGACTATTTGATTTTAAATTTTTAAAATTTGAATTAAATAGTACACGTGTTTAATATAAATAGAAACCATATTCAATTCTAAAATTTTAATAGTTAAATGAATAACCGAAATATTAAAATTCAATATAAGTCGTATTAAGATTCAATACTAGACATATTTATTCAAAATATGCCAATCATAATATTAAATATGATAAGTATTCAAATATTTTTGGTACACTAAAAAAAATGAGTACACAAATTTTATTTCTGTTTTTTCGATTTTATTTAAACATTTATTTTTCATTACGGCTTGCTGGAAGGTACAAATAATACAGTTACACTTATATTTATTTTACAGAGATCTGTATAAAACATATTTTTTAGCATTTACATCATACATACATGTGCATTGGATGGCTTGAAAACTCTTCAATGTTTTTTAAAAACTAATACATTTTTAATTATTCCACATTCATATGCCTGCAAATGGTTGCATGTTTTAACTTCTATAGCATTACACGCTACATACACAGTTGTCAATTCATAAACGAAAGAAAGTACTTTAAACAATCTTAGAGTATTACCAATCTTAATAGCTAAACACTAATTAGTTTTGTAAGTTATCTGCGAAATAAATAGTAAGATAAAAAGAAAATTATAGATTTCGTTTTAAAAAGATCAATCAAAATATGAATGGTTAAGGATTTGGACCTGAAAGAAAACAACAAAAGAGCACAAAAAAAATAAATAAAAAGACAAAATCCGAATGTAGTCTGACTAAAATTATAAATTACCAATTCCGGTGCCCGCGAGTCAGCATATTTTGGCCATGCTTTCAAAAGCTCAGCTCCATCGAAAGTTTTCACATCCTTACGCCGAGTATGGGTTTTATTCTCAACAGGAACCTCCAATATTTTATCCAGTTTTATATGCTTCGTTCTGGATTTTGTATATTTGGCATATATGTATGTATGTTGGTTCGAGAATGTATTTGTTTGCCACTGCGAGGAATGATATAGAAATAAAGTGTATTATTTAATTTAAAACCTACTTTGCCGTATTCTTACTTTTAAAAATGTATTTGTTTCTACGTTTTTTACTTACCTATGACTTTGCCAGGAACGGTAAACGCACGCTGTGTGTGGGTAGATGTGTTGCAGAAAATGTACATGTGTGTGTTCGCTAGGGCACGCTCAACTTTGTTGGCGACCAAGCAACGGTAAACGCACGGTGTGATATATGTATGTGTGTGTAGCTGCACTTGATTGTATGTTCATACGTTTCTGAGAACCGAAAATTTTAATCCACTTAATAATTAATACATTCTACGTGCATATGTATGTATATGTATGCGTGTAACGGCGCGCGCTAATTTGTTGTATTCTAGGAAAACGCAGTACGAGTAAAATATTTTTGATAATTTTAATTTAACTTTTATACACACATATGCACATATTAATTTTTAGACTATTTTCACTTTAAAAAAGATACGACACGTCCTACTTCTTTGGCTGCAATTATGAAATGGCAAGCGTCGTGCCGTGTTGAAAAAGCGGAATCAATTGTACATATGTACATACATATGTATGTATGTATGGCCGAATACAGTTTAAAGAAAAGACATGCCGCGAAAAATGTACTTTTTGGCATTGAATGTTGCTGCCAACATACACACTTATTTATTTAAAGAAACTTCACATGATTTTTTGATAGCGCGATCAAGTTTAATCTTATATTTGTATGCCAACTTCACTTTTATAAAGACCCGACACGTCCAACTTCTTCGGCTGCAACTCTTCAATAACACGCGTCGTTTAGTGATCAAGAAGAAGAGTCATTGATCAAAGCAAACGCGAAAGAATGTGTGTAGGATAGAACAAAAAAAAACCGCCAAGAATTATCTTAGCGCCTTCGTTTTTGTTCTGCCCATTTACATACGTACATACATATGTACATATGTCAATTTACTTTAATGTATATAAATTTGTTTTTAAAAATGTATAATGTTTGGTCTGAACAAATGTATGGGCACGAGTATACAGTTTATGAAATAAATCTTTTTGTTAACGTCAGCTTAAAATATTTATTTTAAATATTATCGTACTTAAAAACGGACATGGCAGAAACTAATATTTAAATATGAAACATATTTAAATGTGATAGTAGAAATAAAATGCATTTTAATTAATTAATTTGTACGTAAATATAAAAGATATCTTCTTGAGGTGTTTTTATTTGATATAAACATTGAAAAACCCTTTTAAATTGACACTTTCTTTATTATTATTACAAACATTTTTATTTTAAATATTAAAAACTTTAAAATAAAATAATTTGAATACTAAAAATTAATATGAAACATTTTTAATTTAAATACGGATTTTTTTAATTCTGAAAATATTAACGATAAATATAATATTTTTAAAAATAAATATAAACAAATTTAAATTAAATATGCTCTTCTTTGATTTAAATATTTTAGTATTAAACTATGCAATTTAATATGTTTCGTATTTAATACAATGTTTTTTGTACTAAATTTAAATACGAAATATGAAATTTTTTATTCAATATGCGGATATTTAAATGTACTATTCCATTTTTTTATCAGTGTAACCCACTCAAATAGGTACATCGATTTTCGCACACTTTGTTGGAGGGGAGAGAGAGCCATGAAAAGATTAAGGTGAAATCCACAAATTTGGCGCAAATGAATTTTCTTTTTATGTTTTTTACACATCTTAAATTTTTTATTATTATGCCATCCTTTGTTGTACGTTTTCGATCCTCATTCTATTACACTTTGCATCGGTTTCGCATCGCCAGGTCCATTTTTCCCCCCCGAACCATCCGACTTTCCCAGGTTTTTCCCTTTTTTTTTCCCAGCGAATTGGAGAAATTTGCGTGCGTGTTTTGAATGAGAATTTGTTGCATATTTGCCTGCCTGTTGGCTTTTTGGGGCTTTTGTATTTCTGTATCCTGGGCAAATGGAAAAAAATAGACGTGGTAAGTCGAAAGTGGAAATAGTAGAAGTAAAGGAGCCGGCGCCATCTGTAAATATCCCCCATCCCACCAATTTTTCCGAGTCTGTGTCTGCTGTTGTACAATATATAAACATTTACACACAGCCATACGCATTCGCATATCGTAAAAAAGTAGCAAATTCCCCTGTTGCGTATGAATTTTTGGCTTCTTCACTGAAGTAGAAAGCATTTTCGCTCTGGGTAAATGTGATTTATATTGATTGTAATCGCGGGAGTGGCGAATGGGGGCCGGTCCTTCTAGGAACGAGAAAAGGAAGGCAGGCAGGAACGCTTCCATCCTAACTACAATATCAGTGAGCATCCGACAAACAGCGATTCAGTTTGCAGAAATGAGAAAAAATATATATCCTCTCAATTTGTACACACAATCTATCTACAGCTGTAGTTATGCCCTGCCACCAGGAGCATAGGAGTTGGTACACTTGGAGCAAGTACTATATGTATTGCAAAGTATGGCTTAAATAATGCATTTCTAGAAGGTTGTGTAACACCTAGAACCTGAAGAAACTAGAAAGTCTTTCAGCTCAGTCAATTTAAAAAGAGACGGTAATTGGTTGTAATATTTATGTAGTAATGTAGACTTGGTAAAATTAAAATGATAATGATAATGTAACTATAAAAATACTGAAAATGTTATTAGTGGTTTATCGCTCTAAAAAAAATACCGATGATTTTTGCATATTGATTTATTTTACATTTTCCCAAAGTCCATTGGTCAAATCAAAATTATATTTAGCTACCTCTAAGCTAAAAGGAATAAAACGTCAATGGCTGTTACAAAAATACCCCAAGCGATGGTTTTGATTGATAAATTATACATTTTTCCAGAGTGCATTTCTAGGCATGCTGATGCGGATGCAGATGCATATAGAGATGCAGGCGGAGACTCCACGAATCCCACCGTCAGCCGTCAACCGCCGAGCGTCAACCGCCAGCAGCCTTGGCTCTACAGTGCCACTTACATTTGACATCAAGACAACGGCAGCAGCGGCAGCAGAAGCAGCGTGTGCGGGTAGGAAAACACCCCTGACCTGTGACCCCTCAACCCCCATCCCAAACACCGTTGCGAATCCCCCACCCCTCTCGTTTCCCATCAGCATTAGCACGTTTTGTGTGCACATTAGAGATGCCCTCATCTGGTCATAGGTGTACCAAAATGCACTCGAAAAAATAATAGCAGAGGAATTACTGATCAAGGTTTTCAATGGAACATATATTTGCACATTTTAAGACAGTATTTCTGTTTGATAAAATAAAAGGAGACTTCTTTTATCAGACTAAGATAATGAGAATAAAAGTGTACCATGCGCGGATCCACGGGGGGTATAGGTGGGATAGATAGATAATTTCTACTCGACAAATTTTTTTGATATCCCCCCATAAATAAATTCTGGATCCACCACTGAAGTATACCCAGTTTTTTTTTAAGCCATAATAGCTAACCAATAATACTACTATCTTTGGAAAAGTTAAAAAGATCTTATCCATAAATTTTTAAATATGTATTCCACCTTTTTTTTAGTGTCCTACGGATACGTCCATGTCTGAGTGGCGTTTGGCTGGAGGGCTGCCACGAATTTTGACTTTGTGTGACGTATCGCTGGCTCTCCTGAATGCCAGGCCCCCATCCCGCCTCGCGTAACCCCCCGCCGGGTGGTCGTGTCAAGGACTCGAAGTCCTTTTTAATTTTAATTAGGCTGTAACACGTTGCTACGTGCTATAATTCGAAAGAAGGCGGCGACGGTAACCGGAGAAAGGGAAAGTGAATCGGATGGATTGACAAACCGTCTGCCTAATTGTCTGCAACCGGGACTGAAGAGAGAGCCCAAGGACAAAAACCACCGCCCAACGCCCACATCTACACCCAAACACCCGAAAAACACCATCGCACACACACGCCCCCACATAAATCAATCCTCGAGAACGTCGACTTACCAGAACGTACATATATTCGCATTCGGAGCAATTTGTCAATTTTTCGGTGCTCGGTTTTTTCTGGCTGTCCCGTGATTAACATAAACCGCAATTTTCATTGCCGACAGGGCGAGACGACAACGGGCTGGAAACTTTCTTAATAATGTGGCCCGGACAACCCCAGCACACGCACATCCAATATATCTCCATATCCACATCCACATCCACCTGTCCGAACTGAACTGAACTGAACCCAAAATGGGTGGATACACATACATATATCCCGTACCACCCTCGAGGCTGTTGCTGTTGCAAAATTTATTGCCAGCAAAATAAATACGCAAAAGATGACATATGATTTGACCCGAAAGATAAAACTGTCTGAAAACAAATATTTCCGCTTAGAGTCCATCCGTAATGCGAGATGGTGATGGACTGGCGGAGCTGAACGATTGAGGGAGCAGCGGTCATGTTTATTTAAGGTTCTGGTTTGCTCCTTCATTATTAAGGACATCATTCAACTAGTTGAATCGGCCCTTTCGGCCATGTCGCCCCTTTTGGCCATCCCCATTGCCAGGCTGTCTGTCAGCCCATTCTTTTTGGCCGTAATTTGTACACGCATATGTATGTGGTGGTGGGGCAACGCCCCTCTGCTTTTCCCACTTTTCCCGCTTTTTCCGCTTTCCCACCAGCGAGTTGAGCTACTTATGCAAATAAACATAAGGAAACTCGCATATGCCGAGGATATATTTCCCTGCCGGAAGGCTGGGGGGACTGAACGTTTCCCCCTAGATTTTGACTTGTTATGAGCGGTTTGCCGAGCTCACTTGTGGCGCTCGGAAATACGATATTGTTAATTAATTTACGCCTTTATTGGAGCCCTCGCCTTGGCCTTTAGTCAGCAGCTTCCCGCACCCATATCAAACTGAAATCATGTCAGGGGTCAGTGTGTTTGTGTGGGGAAAAAGTGTATCAAAAGCTCGTTAACGAACGGCTGCAGCATTGGATCCGAATCAGATTCCGGGTGGAGGTGGGCTGAAAACATGACTAGCCCAACAAATGATTATGAGTGCTAGGACGGGAGATACGGAACCTTTGGCTCAGCTACCTGGTAATTACATTAGCCACTGGATCAGTGCATCGGTTTACTCCCGCAAGCAAAGCACTCTTCAAGCACACTTGTTGCTCCACACTCAACTGGCCTCCTCTTGGCTTGAGCACTTTTATTGAAAAATAGTAGATAAATACCAGAGAAGTCTGGCTTTGATACAATACTCTGCACTGGCTAGTTAAAAAATCAATGGCGTTCAGGCAAAAATAGTTATAGGCCTGCCTCTTGAAACCCGATAGTCAAATATCTGGGCTAAATCTGAAGGCAACACAATCATCTCAAATGGCTGATTAATTCGCATTGGCAACCATCCAACAGATAAGTAATTACACAACGTTCCCTTAATTAAGCCTCTTGATTTGCAATATGTGATACGAAGCACATGTATGTAATTCAAAACATCCTGGAAACAGAAATAAGTTCTGCAAAATGAAAATTCTAAAGGCTTTTTTGCAAGGCCTCCTGGGTCTCACAGAACTTTGCTGATCAAAAGGATACATATCTTATGGAACGTTACACATCTTCTTTCTTGGCTTCAGTTTCTTTGAAGGTGTATTTTACGTTTGCTTTTCTTTTGTGTAGAATAAACTCACATCTACATGTTATAGAGGGCGCCTTTAGCCCCGCCACCTGGTTTTTAAAATTATCCGGCAACCCCAATCAAATTAACG